ACCAAGTTCTGGTTCGCCGTTTCTTATGTGTTGTAGTGCTACTCACACAAGAAGATAGTCGTTGTATCTTGGGAGTTGATTGCCATAAACTATAGGCACCGTTGCGGGGCAAATTCGACTTAAGGACAAAGTGTTCAACACTTGCTTCGACTTTGATATTATTGCTGCTATACATTTTGAGGATTTATTTGGAGTCCATTTCCTACCGTTATTCTGCCGAAACTTCTAAAGAATTTTAAAGGTAATTTGAAGAACTTTTCGGCGTTTTTTGTCACTCCACACACAAAATTTTTCCAACAATCTTAAGTCGAATTTTGTTGGAATGACTTTGATCTTCGATTAAATCATACGTTGGTTTAACTTCTTCTACTCTTCTATTAATTGTTGATCTTCTGTTTTGTGTAAAGAGAAATGACTTTGGTTTTCAATACTGATATTACTTCGAATATGGGAACTTTGGAAGGAAGTGTTCCTAATGTGGTGATTCCTCCGGTTGTGAATGCCCCTACCAATTCTATTCCACATGAAGAGAAACCTGAGAAATTCAATGAGGCTGATTTTAAGAGATGGCAACAAAAAATGTTGTTTTATCTCACGACCCTCAACTTGACGAAATTCTTGAATGAAGATCCTCCCGTCGAACAAGAAGGGGAAAACAATAGGACATCTTTAATTGCTCTAGATTCATGGAAACATTCAGATTTTCTATGCAAGAATTACATTCTGAATGGATTGGACAACTCGTTGTACAATGTTTATAGTTCCAAGATATCTACAAAGGAACTATGGGAGTCCTTGGAAAAGAAATACAAGACTAAAGACGCCGGAACTAAAAAGTTCATTGTGGGAAAGTTCTTGGACTACAAAATGGTAGATTCTAAGACCGTCATCAGTCAAGAACAAGAGATGCAGGTTATCCGACATGATATTCATGCAGAGAATATGTCTCTAAGCGAATCATTTCAAGTCGTTGCAATCATTGAGAAACTCCCGCCTCTGTGGAGGGATTTCAAGAACTATCTCAAACACAAGCGCAAAGAGATAAACATTGAAGAACTTGTGGTCCGATTGAGAATTGAATAAGACAACCGTAGTTCGGACAAGCGTGTTGAAAATAATATACCACAAGCAAAGGCCAATGCGGTGGAATCCAACAACAAAAGTAAAAAGATGAAGCATTCTGTTGAGTCTTCAAGAAAGAACACAAAGAAGTTCAGGGGCAATTGCTACAATTGTGGAAAAGCTGGACATTGTTCTGTCGATTGTCGCAAACTGAAGAAGCAA